GGAAATCAGACATTATGATTTTTGTGGGCTGTATGGATTTGGATCTTGCATTGAGGATGGACGAACCTGCTCCTCTTACTGCTACGAGCACTGATGTTCAAAGGGTTCAGTATGAGAAGCGGGAGCGTTCTAATCGCTTAGGTCTGATGATCATGCAGAAAGGAGTACCAGAACATGTTCGAGACTCTGTCTCAGCTGAATGTTCGAGACTCTGTCTCAGCTGAAAAGAACAATGCTCAAAACTATCTTGCCGAGCTGGAGAGGGCTTATGTCAAGAATGACAAAGCCGAAGTGAGAACACTTTTAGGAAAATTAACCTCCATGAAGTTTGCTGGCAATGGTGGTGCTCGGGAGCATATTCTTAGCATGTCTCAGATTGCAAAGAGACTGAAGGTGCTGGGTATGGCTTTACCAGATGACCTTTTAGTCCATTTGGTTATGAATTCTCTTCCTTCTCAGTATGGACAAATTAGGACTTCCTATAATTGTCAGCCGAATAAATGGACTCTAATGGACTCTTAACGAGCTCATTTCTCATGTGAGTTCTACAAGATTAATTGCGCCAAGAATTTCAGAGTTGTTTTCAAGAGTACTTGAAGGTAAGTTTCTGATTCTTGTTCTAAATTCCTTGTTTTTGTCTCTTCAAGAGTACTTGGGGGTTAAAGGGATTGACGCGTACTTCCGTGATTGCATGCTTTCCGCTAGATTTCCTTGTTGATTTGCAAGAGTACTTGTTAAGCTCCTAAAAACACTTATTGGATGGATTCTGGTGCTACCGCCTAAAAACACTTATTGGATGGATTTTGGTGCTACCGCTCATATAAGTGTTTCATTGCAGGGCTGCCTCAACTATAGAAAGCCAACTGACGGTGAAAGATACGTCTATGTGGGAAATGGCGATCCGGTTGAAGTAGAGGAAGTACTGGCTATTTTTTGGATCTTATAGATACTTTTGTTATTCCCTCTTTTAGAAGGAATTTGATTTCTGTTTCCTGTTTGGACAAATCTGGTTTTCATTGTTCTTTTGGAGACAGTGTATTCACTTTATCTATGAATTCAAAAGTTTTGAGTACTGGTTGCTTGAATGAATGTGATCTGGTTGCTTGAATGAATGTGATAATCTATATATGTTAGACATTGATACTAGTTATCATGAATCCCTGCATGTTACTACAAGAGGTACCAAAAGAAAATTGAATATTGATAACTCAGTTGTACTTTGGCATAGACGTTTGGGTCATGTATCCAAATCAAGGATTGAGCGTCTTGTTTCTGATGGTATCTTAGATACACTTGATTACACAGGTTTGGATTCTTGTATTGAGTGTATTAAAGGAAAACAGACTAAACAGAAGAGACTAGGTGCCATTCGGTCATCCAATGTTTTAGAACTGATTCATACTCATCCAATGTTTTAGAATTGATTCATACAGATATTTGCGGTCCATTCCATATGCAGCTAGAAATGGCCAAAGATATTTTATATCATTCATTGATGACTATTCTCTTTATGGTTACTTATATCTCATTCATGAAAAATCTGAGTCTTTGGACGTGTTTAAATCTTATAAAGCTGAAGTTGAAAATCAACTGGGAGAGAAGATTAAATCTGTTCGATCTGACCGTGGTGGTGAATATTATGGTAAATATGACGGTTCAGGCGAACAACGTCCAGGACCTTTTCGCTTTTCCTACAGGAATGTGGAATTGTCCCTCAATATACAATGCCTGGTACTCCCAGCATGAATGGTGTATCTGAGAGACGTAATAGGACTCTTATGTGGATATGTAAGGAGTATTATTAGTCATTCTTACTTTACCAGAGTCTCTGTGGGGTGGAAGCGTTAAAGACAGCAGCTTATCTTTCTCAATAGGATTCCATCTAAAGCAGTTCTAAACACCTTATGAACTTTTGGACTGGACGTAAGCCTTTAGTCTAAAGCATTCTTCAGTGTTTGGGAATGTCCAGCTGAGCAAGGCCTTACAAGCGAATGAAACAAAAACTGGACTCCAAAAACTATTCAGCAGCTACTTTTGTTGGATTATTTTTGGACGTCTAGGTTACAAGTTTTATAATTCTTTATAATCCTACTTCCAGAACTTTTTTTTGAAACGAGAATTGCAACATTTTTTGAGGATGTTGATTTTGGAGGGAGAAATAAAGAAAGAAACATTGTCTTTAAAGAGGAACCAAGTAAGGATGATTCGGTTCTCATTCCTTTTGTTGTTTCTGATAGCGTACAGTACAGACTCCAGTTGCTCCTGTCGCTATTCAAGATCCAATTCAAGACAATGCTATTCTTCCTCAAGAACAAATTCAACAACCTCAAGAATTAGAACCTGTTCAAATGCCTTTGAGGAGATCTACTAAGGAGAGAAGAAGTGCTATTCCAGATGATTATATAGTGTTTCTTCAGGAACATGAGGATACTGTAGACATGATAGATGATGATCCAGTTAGTTTTTATCATGCTATGCAGAGTTCTGACTCTCATAAGTGAATTGAGGCAATGAACGAAGAGTATAAGTCTATGCAAGACAATCAAGTTTGGGATCTTGTTCAATTACCTGTTGGGATCTTGTTCAATTACCTGAAGGAAAGAAACCCATTGGTTGCAAATGGATATTTAAAACCAAAAGGGATTCTCAAGGTAATGTGGAAAGATATAACGCACGTCTTGTAGCAAAAGGCTTTACTCAAAAGGAAGGGACTGACTATAAAGAAACCTTCTCTCCAGTTTCTTCGAAGGATTCTTTTAGGACAATCATGGACTTAGTTGCAAATCTTGATCTTGAGCTTCATCAAATAGATGTTAAGACTACGTTTCTCAATGGCAACATTGATGAAACAATATATATGGTGCAACCAGAAAATTTTGTAATTGGAGATCCAAAACATCTGGTATGCAAATTAAAGAAATCCATTTATGGACTCAAGCGAGCTTCTCGTCAATGGTACTTTAAGTTCAACTAAGTAATTGTCTCGTTTGGCTTTGAGGCAAATGTTTGAAAATTGTGTGTACATAAGTTCAAGTGGAGTGGTTTACTCTTTGGTCTATATATGTGGATTGACATACTTCTTGCTACTTAATTGTAAAAGTCTTGTTGCATGGAAAACCAAAGTTTTTCTTTTCAAAAGGCATTTTGAGATGAAAGTTTAGGTGGAAGCTTCTTTTGTTTAGGGATTCAGATACATCGAGACCGTTCTCGAGGTATATTCTTGGATTTCACAAAAGAGCTATATTGTGATAAAGTGCCTCAAGAGATTTTAGTATGCAGAATTCTTAAGACCATTGGATACCCCTATTGCAAAAGGTGATAAATTTAGTAATCAACAATGTCCAAAGAGTGAACTTGAAATTTAGGAAATGCAAAAGGTTCCTTATACGTCAGCTATAGGAAGTCTTATGTATGTTAAAGTTTGTACTCAAGTCTTATGTATGTTCAAGTTTGTACTCGTCCAGACATTTCTTTTATAGTTGGCATGTTAGGTAGATATCTTAGCAATCCAGGAATGGATTATTGGAAAGCAGCCAAAAGAGTTATGAGATATCTTCAGAGGACTAAGGGACATATGCTCATATAGGAGATCAGATCAGCTTGAGATCATTGGGTATACTGATTCTGATTTCGTTGGATGCCAAGACAGTAGAAAATCCACATCTGGCTACGTTTTCTATTGGCTGGCGGTGCTATTTCTTGGAAGAGTGTGAAACAAACTCTAGTAGCAACCTCTACCATGGAAGCTGAATTTGTAGCATCTTATAAGGCATCCAATCAAGCTATTTGGCTGAGAAACCTTGTCAATGGGCTGCGTGTAGTAGGTGGAATAGAAAGACCACTGAAGTTGTATTGTGACAGCAGGTCAGCCGTTTTATTCTCCAACAACAACAGGAGCTCTTCTCTCGACAAAACCACATTGAAGATTAAATTTCTTGGCTGTGAAAGGAAGAGGGTACAGAGTGAGACAGATATCCTTAGAGACTATTGGAAAGACATGAACTCTATGATTGCGGATCCCGCTTACAAAGGCAGTTGATACCGAAGTTTTCCATGAGCCACACCGCTCATATGGGTAATCGTTTTGTTTTGAGACTGTCTAGTTTTAGTGGGAGTTTGCTCTTTATGCATACATTTATGTTTTTGAATGCTATGTTTTTGAATGCTCTATTTTGTTTTGGATATGTTTTATTATGTTGATGAAATTTTATTGAGTACTCATTTTGGTTGATGGTTACACTCTGTATTATTATTGTTTTGCTTGATCTCACTTTTGTTGGTGACCAGTTGGAAACAAACATGATGATCACATTACATTTAGTTTTCATCCTACACTTCTATAATGAATCTGTGTCATTTAGGGGTATTGGTAAGGTAGTTGATGATGAACTTAGTCATAAGATCTATGGCGAATGTTTCTTCAGCTCTTTATCAATATAATTAATGGACGAGATTGTTTTTGGATACCTCGTATGACTGCGTTTGTTGAGCTCATTTTGGTGTATGTATTTTATTTAACATACGCCCAAGTGGGAGATTGTTGGATTTAATTTTCTATTGTGGGCTTAATATGTAAAATTAAATATGTACAGCAGTCTAATTATAAAGTCAATTTTAAATGCGGTCTTGATTGTGAATAATTGACTATTGAGGTATCAACTAATTATAGATATTAAGTGTAGAGACCATTATATAATTCCTATTTCTTTAAAGGACCGAAATAGGAATTGTACTAAAGGATTGTACTAACCCTACTAGGTATATAAAGGTCGTGGTCCCGAGGAGTTTGAATACGATTCAGTTTTACGTTCCTTTCGTACTGCTTCCGCTAAATCGATTCTTTCAATTCTTTGGAAGGCTGCAAACCTTAATTCTACACATCAAGATGGACAAACCAACGATGTCAGGTCGCAACCTTTTTCCGCAACCTTTTCTTATTCAATCTGTTTTGTTGAATCTAGTGGTTTGCACGATCTAGGTTATTGTGGAATTATTTGAGATTAATTCTTAACAATTTCTTCAGGAATTTTACCTCTCAAATTATTCTCTGACAAGTCAATAGCATTCAGTAATGCAATGTTACTGCTAAATTCATATTCTCTTCCTTTTGTTATAACTGATATTTGTTCCTTAAAGTACGCCAGACGTCGCAGGGCACTCTGATATTCATTGTGAGTGCTATTTCCATAGACTAAAGCAGTCAGATTGCTCAAACAGCTTGGAATGGTACCTGACAACTTGTTTTTGGAAATATCTAAAAAATGAAGATATGGAAGATTGCAAATTTCTTCTGGAATTTGACCATCTAGCAAGTTCGCCCGAAGGCGAAGGACTAAAATGTTTGATAAATTTAGTCCTATCCATGAAGGAATATTTCCTGATAGTCTATTTCCTCCAAGATTGATGCTTGACAGCAATGAACAATTTTGCAATGAAAATGGAATTTCACCGTCTAGATTGTTATTGCTTAATGACAACATTGTAAGTGATTTTGCATAACCTAATGATTTAGGTATGCTTCCTGATAGATGGTTATTTGATGCTTCCACAATAAACAAGGATTGCAAATTACTCCAACAATCAATCAATTCTCCGCGAAATCCATTGCTCCTGACAGCAAAAACTCTCAACTCTTCCAATTTACATATGGATGATGGTATAGTACCGTTTAGATGGTTGTCAGAGAGATGCAAATTTTGCAGTCTTGACATTAGGACAGCAATATTTTCAGGTATAGGCCCAGAAAATGAGTTGCTCTGAAGGTATAGCTCTGTTGCATTTGTTGTCCAAAGTGGAATTAGGCCCTCTAATGCATTATAGCTCAAATCAATGAATTTCTAATGCATTATAGCTCAAATCAATGAATTGTAAATTTGGAGACTCCAACTTTTGAGGAAGTTTCCCTTTAATGTGGTTATTAGATAAATCTAAGAACACTAGTTGTGAAGATAACTTGGAAAACCATTCTTCAGGAATGGTATCAGAAATTCCTACATTATTGAGTCTTACTTGAATGAGTTGAGTTTGAACTTCAAGCCATTTGGGAAAGAAAGGGCCAACTTTACAATTCACTAGTTGGATATATTTAAGCGTAAAAGGAGGAATCCAATCATAAGACACATTGAACACTAATAACCTTGTTGAATCTGTTGTCAGATGGATGTTCTCTAGACTTGTAAGATTCATCAAATGGGTTTCATCTAGAACTCCTTCCCAGGAATTATCTTCAAGGTCTAAATTCACTAGATTTGAGAGTTGGCCAAAACTCTCTGGAATTGTCCCATTCATCCCATTCAATTTGGTTTACTAGAGAGGTATAATTCCCCTTTAGAAATGATAACTTTCTATGGGTTTTGGAAAGTGAACCCAAAATGAGTTTACAGAAAGTTGGAAGTTTCTGCAAATTCTTAAGAACTCCCTAATGATTCAGTAATTCTCCTGTTGTAATTGGAGTTTAAATTCAATGAGACTTAAGCTGTTATTCAGATTTTCCGCTTGAAACCAAACAAAAACTCATCAATTTTGCCAGTTAAAATTGACTTAGCAGAAAAGAATCCAAGATCTTTAACCTTAGAGTGAGGTTTCCTTAAAAGAAACCTAGGAAATTTGACCCCCAAGATTCAAATTATGGATAAATTAAGAAAACTTCCCAAAGATTTTAGGTCCTAAGCAAATTCACTAGGAATTGGACCGGTTGGAACAAAAGTTCCAGTACAAGATAAAAGTCTGTAAGGGCTATGTAAGATTGAAATAACCAATTGCGGAATTGGCAGAATTGAAAAGAGTTGTCTGATTGTGAACCCTAACCCAAAATATCCATAGGCATGTAATTGCATGTGACTAAGGGCAGAAATGCACGTGAATGTAAATGATCGCACCTTGTTTAATTAATTTTTAGGGTAAACTAGGAAAAAAAACCCTAATTGACTCTCGATTTTATTAGACCTAATTGCTAAGATTAATTTATTCCAATGTTTAAGGCACAATCTGGCGACCCGAGGTGGATCCCGAGACCATGTCAATGCTGATTAACTCTAACCAAAAGAATGGAATGCCTTTGCAAGGTAAATGAGTAATTGGACCAAAATGAAATGTTTTAATGTGATTTCGAATTGCCGCTCGGGTTAAATCCCTAACGTGCCTACGTACTTCCATTTGGGAATGGAAGATCAAAGTCAACGTAAGTTCCGATAGGCCTTCTTTGAAGGGCTTTGAAGGTGTAATGCTTAATGCATGAGTGTGTGTTATGTTCTTGTGCATGTTGTTTAGGCATTTTGCAAAGGATCGATTGATTCGATTAGGCGTTTGTCGCCAAAAATGTTGGTTTTAAGGCATTTGTGCAAAAAATGGTTGTCGGGCGATTTTGGTCCGCCAAGTTGATTAATTTGAGCTTAATTATTGCCAAAATTGAATGTTCGGGCTTATTATTGCCGAAATGAATTTTGTTTCGGGCGATTTGTCCGCCAAAATGAATTGAATTTTAATGCTTTTAGGCCAAAATGAGTTGATTTAGGAATTTGTTTGCCAAAAGTGTTGATTGGGCGATTGTCGCCAAAATTGATTGATTTTTAAGGCTTTTAAGCCAAAATGAGTTGATTTTATTTGAAGGCATTTTGCCAAAGAAATTCTGATTTAAAGCGCATTTGTCGCTAGAACCAGTGGTTTAATCTAATTTATCGGCAAATTTGTTTGCCAAAAATTGATTGATACCGTGGGCCAATTTCGTTGCCAAAATGTGGTTGAATTTAATTGGTAGGGCAATTTGTTGCCAAAAACGTGATTGGATTAAGGGCTTTTAGCCACAATTATTGATTAATGGACTTAAGCCGGACTGTTCGAAAATAAAAGGCAATTAAAACCGTAGTTTATTATAACTGAGGCTTTTTAGCCAATATTGTCGGATTAGCCATTAATCCACGATTATTAATTAACCGGGTATTTTAGCTTAATCATATTTGATTGAGGCAGTTTATTTGTCTAAAATAGATATGACATGCATTATGCAGTTAATAGAATTTTAAAAAAAAAATATGAATGCATTTATGCAGTTGTAGAATTATTAGGAGTAGAAGAGAAGCATGCATGAGGTGCTAAAATTAAATAGGCAGAGTTTCGTTTAAGTACCTAATTTAATCGACGACCGCTTCTTAATTTCAGATTAAGCTCCTCGTTTGGGACAATATTAATTAATTTTAATTTGTTCAATTTTAGTGACCAAGTATCACAACAGAATACAATTAAAATTGAATTAAAATGCAAAAAGCGGTAAAAGAAATCGCAAAGAGCGTGGGGGGAGAAGGAGCATCCGTCAACACGAACCGAGCAAGCTCAAATGGAGGGGTAAGTGGGTAAGTGGCCTATTTATAGGCAAAAAAATGGGTCTGGGGTGGCAGGGTGTCCGCCGGGGTCGGGCGGCAGGTGCCGCCCAGGAGGTGGGGGCCGCAGGTGCCGCCGTGTTTCGGCGACAGCTGCCACGCCGGCGGCGGGGCGGCTGCCCAGGGCTTTGCCCGCTGCCCGCCGGGAAAGCCGGCGGATGCTTCCGCGCAGTTGGGCGGCTGCCCAGGGCGGCCGGAGCCGCCCGGAGCCGCCGTGTGCGGTGGTGTCTCTCGTACCTCGCTCCAGGAGCTTTTCCGGGGGTTCCGGACCTCCAAAAATTATTCCGGGACCAGTTCTGGAATCCTCGTAATTTTTCGGACGTTTCAAGTACCATATTGGCATACTTTCGGCAAGTTTTCAAAATGGAAGTACCATATTGGCATACTTTCGGTGAACTTCCAAAATGGCCTTCGGTCCGGTCGGACTGTTTGTAGTCCGGGAAAACAGGCACTGTAGCAAATTTACTGTAGCAAATTTTATTATTCGCAGTCTAGAAAAACTGACTTTTTGAGCCTCAAAATTTGAGTATTCACACTGATAAATCAAGAACAGAAAGAGAAGTGAAGTTAATGGAAGGAAGTGAAAGTGGAATACTATCAAGTTCACAGTATTGCAAGTTTAACTCTAACAGAGAAGGAAGCATATTAATAGCTTGAAGCCAATCATGCCCTACATCTTGGAGTTTAACATAGCCCATGTTCAGGTACTTTAAAGAAGATAGACCTGAAAGCCAATGCAGATTATCAGCGCGTAGCTCCCACGCGCCTGCATTGCTATGTGATTCTGCGTAAAGGTCAAGATAGTGCAATTGAGACAGATTTCCAAGTTGAGATGGAATAAATCCAGAAAATGATGAGAAAGAGAGGTTAAGATATCTCAAATTTTTTAGTTCACCCAAGAATTCAGGAATTTGAGCACCTTCAAAATTATTAAAGCTTATATCTAAATAGCTTAAATATTGCAACTCGAGTAAAGAAGGACTAATCTTACCACCCAAACAAGACCTCTCATAAGTTTCTTGGTCACCAACTCCTCCATTGATTAATGTATAAGGATTTCGAAGGTCGAGATTGATGACATGACCAGTTTGATTATTGCATTTGATTCCATTCCATTTACAGCAATCTTTTCCCTCCCAAGAAGGAAGTCTACCAGAAGGATCAGTAAGGCCTTGTTTAAATACAACAAGTGCTTCTCTCTCTTTGTCTATGCTTGTAACTTCATTGCCAAAACAAACCTTAATGATCTCTATCTGTGAAGAGAACAAGCACAAAATGGGTAGAAAGTGAAGAAGGAAAAAATTGGTCCCCATACTCCAAATAATTGGATTTGGTTTGGAGTGTATTATTTATGGAGGAAATGTTCACATTGCATACTGATATCAATGATTTAACGGTATAAAATAATAAGGGAATTGCTACCTAACTTGTTCTTGTTTTGTCTCCTAAGCATAAAACAAATAAATTTGTCCATTTATATAATATAATTGAAGATAGGGTATAATAAAATAATAATATAAATTTGTTTAATAGAATTCCATACAAATTTATATAATAATAATAATAATAACATAAATTTATATATTACAGAGAGTCAAATGTCTTTTATATAATATAATCGAAGATAGAATAAAATAATAATAATAATAAAGGTTCAAAATTTATTTATTTTTATAAAATATAATTAAATGTCCATTTTTCTTGGAAACGTCCAGGTTGCTTAAGATCACAAGCTGTAATCTAAAGCAATACCCATATAAAAATGGGGAAATAGTTTTGGCAATACCCATATGCCCATCTTTCTGACAAACCAAAGGCATTCATACTTGTAAGTCAACAATTGTGTTCTGATTGAGTTATTTGTGTTTCTATATGAATTTAGGAAATGGTGAGATACAACAAATTATTGAATATGTGGTTTTTTTTTATAAAGGTGTTCGGACCCTATTATGAGGGACCGCTTAATCTGATTTGGAATTACTCACAATTTTTTTGTCCAATAAAGAAATTATTGTTTATCGTATTTGTGAATGATAAGCTAACTAGGTAATGAATCATTTCAACACATAAGTCATAATATAGAAGAAGAATCATTTCAACACATAAGTCATAATATAGAAGAAGAGAAAAAGGGTTACCTCTCGAAGTGTGTCCCCAAATGCTTGTATGAGAGTGCCCATGTTTTTCCTGTTGCTTGCCACTTGCTTCCTCATGGGGTAACCCGTGTAAGCTTCTGTAGCTGAAGCCATAGTCTGGCAAACACCCGTTTTAAGAAGTTGGACGTATACTCTCTCTTATAGTCAAGTTAACCAAAAATTCACCATTTAATAACACCCTAGCTAATATTAGTTAGGAATTTAAATTCATAAAAAGTCAAATAAAATAATAAATTTTAATTAATTATAAACACAAAATATTAGTTTAGGGTTATTTTTGCTATTTAGTTAGATATATTATAAAAATAGATTCTATTTATTATGACATTATTTTATTTGTAGAAAATCATTATTGATTGTCAATATTATATAAAATATTTTATTTGTAAGATGAATAGATTATTTTTTATTTAATATTTATATAAATAAATATAAATAAAATATTTATTTATTTAGGGGCATTAGTAGTCTGAAGGAGTCTGATTTGAGGAAAAAGGTTAAATTGGATCCCATAAAAATAATATTTTATTCATTAAATTGGATATAAGTTGAAACTATGATGCTATTATAACTAAAGTTGAAGTTTAAGGTATTAGGACAAAAAAGTTAAATTTATGTTACAATTAAAACTACTTACAAAATTTATAATTTTTTAATGATTTAGCCACCAGAACATTTCTCGAGTCTTATTATAATTATCTGTTTAAATACCTTCTAGCCCGTTTAAATACCCCTTCAGTATTAAAAATATTTTTTT